CCCTTGTCTTCCTTTCTGTACCATATTTATAAAGAGTAAACTTAGGGTTTAAGTATTAATAGTGGTTTTCAATCTATACAAGCTATGGATCCAAACCCATTAACTAAAATAGAAATAATGAGAGTGATTTGAGTATGTAAACTCTATATTAATGATTTTATCAAGAGTTAGTTGGGAGGAGTTATTTTCATGCAAATTTTACACTTAATATAGTTGTTAGGAGAGTTTGATACTCATTAATGGTAGTTAGATGACTTATTAATGATAATATGGGTTAGTAAAACCTAGAGAACCTAATGGGTATGATAGGGTGTGATTTTATGATATTGATAAGAAAGGGATATGAGGAGTTTAGTGTTAATAAATTCCTTAAAGTAGGATAATGATGATATCCTTGTGTTATAATTGTATTGTGGTTCAAATTGGCACTATTTGAGCTTGTGAAAAGCTTTGAAAGTTAATATTATAAGGGGTAAACCTTTGACCTCTCAAAGATTTGAAATAACTAGGAAAAACTTAGTTTATATAGTTGAATATTAATTGATTAATTATTGAATTGGTTGATTTAAAACATGATTGATATTTCTAAACTCTTGATGCAAATTTGGCACATTTGAAATTATGATGAATTGGTGAGAAATGGTTTTGGAAAAATAGAGAACTTTATACATATTTGCACATAGTAACAATGATTTTGATTAATGGGTTGTCATTGTGAAATTGATAAATATGATATTTGGCATATAGAGTAAGTTGAATATTTAATTATGGATATGTGAATCCATACTATGTGATTGATGATTGAGTTACATGAATATAGGGTATACATGCATTGCATGATCATCGGCAGGAGTTCGCTTAGGAAGAGGAGTAGTTAGTAAACCCACGTGGTATTGGCAGTAACTGTTGGAATCAAGACCTTCCCTTGGCATCGACCGTTAGAATCAAGAGGTAGCCCTTATCCTGTAGTTGATTAGAGACTATCCTACTTATTCTACGAGAGACTCAAACCTAACTAGTCTTCACTAGTTTATGAGAGGGCTAAATTAAGGGTATGACATACCATGGTTGTTAATATTAGGAAAAATTAGATTACCCAAGTGATTGAGTTAATCCTAGCCTAGTAGCTCCTCACAAGTAGAAGGTTAGGTTAGTCCGTGAAAAATGTAGCCATCGATTTCATGTCAAAGATAACAGAAGGGTATAAGGTTAGCATTTGATTATACATTTAAATCTAGCCATATAGTTGTTATTATTGTGGTCTGGTACACAGTAGGGGTGTATGGTTGGTATTATTACGACCCCATGATGTGCATTGTTATTTATATAGTTATATGTACATTAGGCCTAGTCACATAGTTGTTAGTATTATGAACTATGGCTATATTCATCATATGTGCTATATTGTGTGTGATTTTGCATATTTACATATGTTTACAATTAATATGCAATTGTATAGATTAGGTGAAACTTGATTATTGAGTAGTTGCGCTGACCCCTTAATTCTTAATATTTTTAAGGTCTAGCTCATCTGATTATGACAAGGGAAACTGTGCCGAGGCATAGGGCTATAGAGTAATCATTTGTGTTATGGCTCATTTTGTTGTTTTATGTGTATAAATGTTGATTTGATTGCCAACTAGGATTAACATGAATATTTTTGCACTATTTACATTATTATAGCATACAACTTATGTATTTTATGCCTTGAGTTAGTGAGTTTTAGTTGTAAATCTTGTAGAGGGCTAAAATACTTGTGCAAATAGTATTGCGTGTATTTTGGATTGAATTGGAATGAAAATGAATAATTTGCGCAAGAATTTTCTCCCCCTTGTGTTTTATGAATTATGGAGTTGAGTGGTGAAAATTTAATATACGTGTTTTTAGTCAAGTATGGTGAATTGCACGAGTCTTCTAGAATCTATTAAACATGGTCAGATGGTCGATGTAAGACTTTGACACTCATGTATGAGTTGGAACACATTTGTTATGAGTTTTAAGTAAAAAGTGGTAAAAATGAGTTTAAGTGTCCAGCTCTTTGTAAAAATGAATTTGAGTGTGAAACTTGTGTCATTAACTAGAGCTAGAAGAAAGCTTCGTGTAGACACCGAAATCACCTCAATCAAACATTATAAGGAGATTTAAGATGCGTCAAAAGTTATCTCCCACTGCTGTCAAATGATAACAACTGTTTACTATCAAATTTCATACAATGCGTCATAGTGCATGGCACAGAGACAAGTAATCCCCAATGCTTATGCACAATTTCACTGTTTTAAGTTTGAAACTTAATGTTTTAGGTCTAATTTGATTTCCAGGCTTCCTCATTTCTTTAAAACTCTAATCTAAATAATATGTAAGCTTATGGAAGAAATTTAATTATTGAAAGTGTGGGATCCCTTAGCAAATGGTTTAAAACTTACTTTTCCTAATTGTCTCTATTTCCCTCATTTAAAATTTGAAACTTGGTTTTATTATATGAATTATGAAAACTTAATTACCTTAATCTTAGAGTTAATAATGTTTAATGGGTATGGATATTACACTGTACAAGCATCAACATTAGCCAGTAGAATGAAAACACAGTACCTACTTGTTGCTATTTCTACTAAGAATCAGAATCCATTAGTATTACATCACTACTTTTACATTTTATCTGAGAATCCAACTTAGATACTTACATCTTAATTAAGCAATTTTCAGTAACATAAGCTCTATAAGTTAGGCCCATTCACAAGCAAAGTACACTACCAAAACTAGAGACATAAGCTCACAAATGCCTAAAGAGAAGGATGCACATAAGGAAAAAGACAAAGATTATAGTAAGGATCACACAAGAACAAGTACTAGGAGGACAATAATGTCCATTCCTGGCACAAATTAGAGAGGAAGTAAGAGCATCAATGCTTACCTTGAAAATAATGACTTAGAAGGACTGGGAGAGGAACCACCATATGTGATTGTGCGACGAAGCAAGGCGTTACTGTGCCACTGTGGTAGAGAATGAGAAACAAAAGAGAGAACTCAAATAGTGACTTGAAAATGTCATTGCTTGCAAACAGATCCAAGGCCAAGCTCAATCTCCTCAAACTCTCCCTCGATTCTCATTAGCCTAATCCACCCCATTCCATTGCCCCCTCCCAAATTCCTCAAATGATGCACAATCATTATCCCATAATCTAGATCTAAGTTTGGCTTCGCCAAGGCCATTCCCTTCAATGTCCAAAAGAGTATAAAGGCTATTAAGAAGAAGGAAGATTTTAGTTAGTTCTAGTCGAAGCTAGGAGTGATGAAGAGGGGAAAGCCAAGGGGTAAGGCCATGAAGGAAGAGGAAGAGAGGAGATGGTGCCAGTGATAACCTTTTTTTCTCCAATTGTTTTAATTTTTTAATATTAAATCAATTTCAATAGTGGGTTATATGTTACCTACTATTAAAAAAAGTAATAATTTTTAAAAATAAAAAATTTGGGATCTACTTTCAATGTCGGGTAAGAGGTGACCTATTGTTGAAATTTTACTTTTAACAGCAGGTGATTTATGGCACATTGTTGCAAATACAAACAACAACAATTACTTCAGTATTTAATGTTAAAAGGCCATCATCTAACTTAGAATTACAAGAATGCCATTGTGTTTACTTTTAAAATCATTCTCCTATTAACCACTATTGAAAGACCACTATTAAAAGTATATTTTGCACTAGTGTTAAGATGGGATTTGATTTAATTTACACTTGAGATAGATATATACTCAAGAGTCCTAGATAATCTTCTAAGGCTTATGCATTATTAGATCAAGACTTGCTTAAGACATCATAATATACTTAGATCACGGGTTTTATAATCGACGTATACATAATTTGATTTAGATCCTTGGTTTTAAAGTTAAATTAAAGCATGATAACTAAAAAAATTGAATTGCAAAGTATAAAAAGGGATTTGAATTCCAAGGGTGCTCTTTAATTATTAATCTTATCTCAAATTTATTCTTTGACATTATTTTATTTTATTCATATTTTTAATTTAATAAAAACTTTACTTTTGATTGGATAATTTAATTGAGACAAATATAGCTTTCATTTATGCCAATTCCTTTTAATTAGTTTCCTATGAGACAACCTTGATTCGCTATATACAATGTTACATCCGTACCCTTATAGTGTGTTGAAATTTTGTGTGCATCAACATCAATGTTCACAAGTTAAAAAGCAACATTGCAACAATTTTGTCATAAGCTTGAGAGGTTTCAATGAAAAATTTATGATAACCAATGCTCCCTACAAGATAGTTTAGAAGAAAATGTCCTTTAACCTTGACTCAAGCTAAAAAAAATAGCTAAATGTGGCTAAACTAGAAACATAAGTCATTTTTAGGAGATTAAGGGAAAAATTATTTTTATGCAGCATTTTGAGTATCATTATGAAAGGCTAATTAAAAACCAATTTAAGATTACAAGATACATGAGATCTCTAAAATGTAAATTGACCACTACTTAAAAGTCTTACCCAGGCCATATATATATGACTCGAGTTTAACTTTTGAACCCGATCTAAATAGTGGATAACCACACATATGCTAATCAGGCTAGGCATTTTAGGTTTAGGCCAAGTTCAAGCTAACAAATCCTCAGTAAATATATTTTTAAGTAGATACCACATTAATTAAATTTTAATAGTAGGGTTAAATGATAATTTGAACCTTAAACTATAGGCCAAGATCTAATTTAAAGCTTGAACTCGTATTTGGTACACTTTAGACCCTAAAAAGTTAAACTTAAGACAATCTCACCCCTACTATTAATTTGGAATTAACTTTTATTATCATAGTAGGGCCCATAAGCTTAAGTTACTCTCTCTCTCTCTCTCATGATGTCTTACTTTCTACCTCCTCCTCTTTTCTCTCTCCCTTCCTCCTATACACAAAGAAGAAGCAATGTAACTTGTATACATAGAGCCTCTCTCCTCTCTCTCTCTCTGTGCACATCATAACCTTGCTTGTCTTTCAATTATTGAGACTCTTCTTGGTGGCCTCATAGTTAGAGGTAATAGTTTCCTTAGTAGACTCGAGAACTTCCTCCACCTTGTCTTTTGTGATCTTGTAACCCTCTTTAGACTCATCCTTTACCCGATTCAACTCCTCCTCAATCTTCTTATGCCTCTCCCTGGTCTCCTCGGCCGTCCTCTCTCCCATTTCCCTCACGACCTCATTAGCTTGCTCTACCTGCTTTGATGCTTTCTTCTTTGCCTTCTTGTATGCTTTCCTTTTTTCTTCCTTCATTTTCTCTAATGATTTATTAGCAACCTCCTGTGCCTTCTCTGATGCCAAACTAGCCTTATCCCATTTATTAGCAACCTCCTGTGCCTCCTCTTTAGCCTGTATTATGCTTTCTCTTTTATTGTGCTTGCAATGTCGCTCTCCTTCTCTGCAACAATGTCCTTCATGTCCCTTGTCCTCTTTGTTACTATATCTTTCATGTATTGACCAACCCCTATACATTATGCACTAAGTTAGACACCATTGCCTCTAACTATGAGGTAGCCAAGATGAGGGAGAGAAGAGACACGATGAGAGAGAGTAACATAAGCCTATGGGCCCTACTACAATGGTCGTTAATTCCAAATTAATGGTAAAGGCAAAATTATGCTAAATTTAATTGTTCAAGGTTTAATATATACCAAATACAAGTTTAAGGACAAACCCCCTTAACTTATAGTTTAAGAATTAAATTAGGGTTTAATTAAATTTTTGCCCCTATACTTTTCTTCTAGGAGCACTAGGCACTCTAACTAGTAAGTAGGTCATTTTTCCCCTTAAACCATCTTACATAAGAGCAAAAATCCCATAAGTTAAGGGGACAAATGTCCCACTTATTAGTATAGGATGCCCAACGTTCTTCGAAGGAAGGTACATGTAAGAGTGTTCAAAACCAAACTAAACCAAAATGACTAAACCAAACTAACCTAAATCGAAAGGAACTGACCAAAATCGATCATCAATCAAGTATACTTCAATTTTTATGAAATACAAACTAATTGGTTTGATTCAAATTTTGGTTTTGAGATCTAGAAACTGAACTAGACTTTAACCAAACTTGATTAAAAAATAGTATTTATTTAGATAAAAATTATTCACTACTATAAAAAAAGCTTTTCATATCACTTTTTTAGACAATCATATTCTTTTTAGTCATGTGTCAGTAGTTTTCCTCCTTTTATTTCAGGTAATGTTTTGAAACCCGAAAGATGTGAAACCAAAAGGAGCAACGAGTCACAGTTTTCATGGTTCAACTAATTAGACCAGCAGTCAAACCGATGGTATAAAAATTAAATAAAAAATAATAGTTATATGCATACATACATACATACATACATACACATACATACATATATATATATATATATATATATATAAATATATATAAACAAGACATTAATTTGAAAAATAAACAATAATATATCAAGTAACACCATAAATCCATATAAAAAAGATGAGCTATTATTTAATGATGAGTAAAATAAAGCCAATGTAAATTTTTTTGAAAAAAATAAAACAAGTAAGAGTATTACAATAAAATAGCATTAGTTTTTACTCAAATCTAAACCATTTAAAAACTCAAACAAAACATTTACTTTGAAATGAAGATAGAGTGTGAGCACATGTATATATGTATCTACAGGTCAAAATATAGAGAGAGAAAAATCCTTTTGCTCAATAAATAGCTACGCTTATAGGTTTAGTAAGCTTTTCTTCCTGAATCCTTTTGGATGCAAAAATGCCAAAAAATTTCAATCCTCTTCTCACCTCTCATCTATCAATCCCACTCCCAGTATATATGACAATTTATTTTCTTTGTATGATCTTTGCCTCCAGCATGTTCTTTCATAGTTAAACATAGACCAAATTAAGTTGCACAGAACAAACTCAACTATACATAATATGAATAAGTAGGATTCAAAGTCATTTCAACTGCAGAGGAATAAAAGTCATACTTTATAGGTAAACCTATCACAATACAAGATTAGCTTTAATTAACAAGTAATGGGAGAAAGACCAAACTGATTCTGGCAGCTAGATTCATAAAAAACCCTTCTGTCAAAGAAAAAAAGTCGATGGCATGACTAGCAACAGAAACTAAAAAGATAGGGACATTGAAGGACATGAGGGCCAATGTAACCAAATAAGCGAGGCCAACCCTGAAGGTATAGAGGAGGGTCCAAAGCAAACTGGAGGAGAGGTGGTGATAGGAGAGGCACTTGACGAGAACAATGATAAAGAACACAAAGAGCAAGGTGATACAAAATCTAGGTTGAGAATAGTAAGTGAGAGGCAACAGGAGAGACTCAAGAGGGGGATGAATCAGAATTAGAGATTGAGCATTTGAATATTTGAGTAAGTAGAAGTGCAGAACAGATTTGAGCAAGATATGAAGGCTTAAAGTTAGAGATGAGAAACAGAAAAAGGCAAGATGCGAGACGCAAGGGAGGAGTCTACAAGAGTGAGAGGTAAGATCTATTTTCTTGTGTAGAGCCTTAATTTTTTTTAACTTTAACTCGGATTGAAATGCTTTAGGTTTCTGGTTAAATTCAATTCTATGAAAGCCACCCGATTCAATCCAGTCCAAAGGTTAAATTGGTTCAATTGGTTAAATCAAGCCGCTTTATTTAGCAAGCGACAGTTAGATCAGTTAAACTGCCTGGTTCGATTTGGTTTTCATAGCATTAATCTCAGGTATTATGCCTCATATAACAATGGATTGATGCTTGAGATGGAATGATTTTTTTGGATAATTTTAAGCATATGAATGTCTCTTTTTTGTTTAAGGACAAGTTGTAATTACATATATCAATTTTTTTATAATAGATAGTTAGTGTAGTTTAAGTGGATATTATGACATTGAGAGATGAATATTATGTCTTGAATATATATGCATGGAATTATAAATATAAGTATTAATATTAAATAGCATGATATTTTAAATTTTAGACATTTACACTTGAGATATTTATATATTTGCTATTTCCTATTGATCACCATCATCATTTTGATTTTTAGGTTGAGGTTCTAAAATGCTCCTCAAATAAGTGGAAAGGGTCAAGATTACCCTTAAAGTTAAGAAAGGGTTATTTATATCCCTTAATCATTAAGGTCTTCAATTTCATCACCCTACCATCTATTTTGTCAATTTCACTATTAGAAGGGCCCATATTTAATTTTTTATGTTTTAGTGTGTAACATCCTGATTTTTAGATAATAAAGAAATTATGGAATTAGGTTTTATTGAGGATAAAAAATAATAATAATAGAAATTTATATTATTTGAGGTTATTCAGAAATAATATTATGGTTAGGCATTTAATTAAAAAAATTTAAATTTAAAACCACATAAAAAATATTTAGTTAAGATATAAATTTAAAATTTAGAATATATAAATTATTTTTTTATGTGTGTGTTAGTAAAAAAAAAAGAAGAGAAGGTGGAAGGAACAAAAAAAAAGGTGAAAGGTTATTTTTTTAAGTCCCACATTGGTTAAATGTGAGAAGAGAAGAGGTGTCTCTATGTATAAAAGAAAGGGGTACGTGTGTTAGGAATCATAAAGGGCTAAGATGTAATTTGGAGGAAATTACAACTTATGGTCCAAGAGTTTGAATAATTAAACTCAAACCTATAGTCTTTTTTTTAATATAATTGTGGGACCCACAATCTCTTTTTTATATTATTTTTCCCATCTCTCTCTCCCTCTCACGTTGCTCTACCTTGCAAGGGGGTTTATTTTTTTTTTTCTTCAGGTATACTCTAACTTTTCTATTTAGATTAGCATTTAAAAAATTACTTAGTTAAAAAATTAATTTTGTAGTTATTTCCTAAATAATATTAGCTTTCTAATGATTTGATTATTTTGTAGAGTAAAGCAAATATTTTAATTAAGATTTTTTTATAAGATAGTTAATCTGATGATATGATGGATTAAAAATACAGGTTGAAGTTTAGGGATATAATAAATATTATAGAATATTTTTTTAAGGTTGAAACTCATGTAAAAGAATTTTTGAGTTAGACTTTAAATTTATACGATTGAATTTATGTTGAATTTGAGATGTGGGGCTGAACCTTTGATTATTAAATATTTATTTAAGTATGAATATGTATTTCTAAGGCTATAGAATAGTGATTTGAGGCTTTAAGGTAATTTTAAAATTTTTAATTTATTTTTGGATGAAATTTTTAGAATATAGAAGGATGAAATTGTGATACTAGAAGTGATTTGAGGCTTAAATATAGTTTATTAGGGTATGATAATTTTAGAAAAAGAATTTAAAAAGTTAAATGAGGCATACACCTTAAATTAGTGTTAATATGGATCTTAGGCCTAAGACTTTCTAACTCTTTAAATTAGAGTCATTTATTAATTTTAATGTAAAATTAATATATAGCATTATGGCATAATTATGTAGATTGTATTGATAAAGAGAGTGGTGAAAGAGGAGTTGTGAAGGAAAAATTATTGTTCAAGACACAAGGTAACCATTATTAATGTGTTGTGATAGGTGTGTATGTGATTGGTTATGTGTTGTTTTGTTATTTGAAAAAATTATGAATTATGAATTATTAAAAATAAATACTGTTACATACTCATTTGGAATTATTGTCAAGTGGGTCAAAATTTATTTTTGTTTATTATGATAAGATATTATTATTCGGTTATATTCTTGTTTGGATATTTAAATAATGCATGACTTATTAGGGTATTTTAATATATGATATTATTGGAAATTTTTGTTTGGTTAATTATTACCACGTGGTAAGCCCTCATTGGACCCAATGAGTGGCATGTAGCTTGGTCCAACTCACCTTTCGCCAGGTGATTTGGCGTCCAGGCATGGTGAAAGGAGAATATAAGGTGTAGTCATACAATTAAATACTTGTTTGGTTTGATTGGAAATACTGTTCAATTAAATATTTTTGTATACCCACTTAGCAATCGCATGATTAGTTACATCCAAATGCATCATTACATATTAATTTTTAGTTACTAGGACTTTTAAATCTCATTCTCCGTGGTTAATATTTTTACAGGAGCGAGTTCGATCAAGAAAGCACCAGAGGCGTAACTTTAGTGTATGAGACACCATCTTTTATGTTGCCTCTTATTTTAGATCATGCAATGTATCTAGTGCCAACTTAAAACATATCTTATCTTGTGGAGCATATAGACTCTAATTCTTTTTATTAACTGCATTTATTATGATCAAGAGGATCATGTCTGTCCCTCTTGATTCTTGAACTGATTTGAATATCATGTTATGAGGATCCTGTCTATCCCTCATAGTTCTAATTGCTTTTTTTTTATTCACATAACAATATAAAAAAATTATATTTAGAAATTGTTTGGGATTCTGCCTCCTTAAAATAGGCTTTTACACTAAATGCTAATTTAAAAATTATCATTTTCTTTGGTATGAATTCTTTTCACATTGTTTTTCATTAGGTAAAATTTTATTATAAATGTAACTTCAATTATCATAGTAGAGCTTATTCATTATGTCAAATTCTTTCTACTATGGTAGGCTATTTGTAAAATATTTTATTTATATGATAAACTCTTTTCTACCATAGTAAGGTTTTGAAAAGAAGTTTAGTTATTTATTATCATGGTAGAAATTTTTCTACCATGATAAAGGTTTGATGATGTAAAAAAAATAATTTTTATTCAATTAATAATTTGCGAAAAATTAGTTTGAACATTTTAGGATGTTACATAGGGGGTCTCACCTTTTTTTTATAGGATCGAGGGTCTAAAATGTCCCTCAAGTAAGCGAAAAGGGTCAAGATCACTCTTATAGTCAAGAAATGATCATTTATATCCTTCAACTGCTAAGATTTTCAATTTCATCACCATGTCATCTATTCCATCAAATTTCACCTTTTTAATGGGGCCCACGTTAAAATGTTTTTAATATTTTTAGTAGATCCCACCATTTTTAAAAATTTTAGTAGGTCTCATCAAGGCTCAAGCCATACCTTCAAGTGAATCTCTATTTAAGCTTGTAAAAAATTACTTCAAGCCATAGCTTTTTGATAGCTCCAAGCCTAATTTTTCTACCATAATTCCCAACCTTACCCTCAATTTTGCCATTGCTAAATGGTGCCAAAACTCCACTAACCATTATAGGAACATGCTTTTGGTGCACTCTTCAACTCGACAGCCATTTACAATGATAACAAGACTGCAATTGATGTGTTAGATGCTTTGCCGTCACTACTCCACTTGCTTTAATCCAAGAACAAGTGAACGAGAGAGGGAATGAAAGGGGGAGAGAGAAGAGAGGGAGAAGAGATAGGGGTATTTTTAAAAAAGATTATAAAAAATTAAAATACGATGGGACTCACTAAAAATCTTAAAAAATTCAAATGTAGGCCCCTTTCATGGTGAAAATTAACAGAATAGATAGTAGGGTGATGGAATCAAAAATCTCAGCAATTAAGAGATATAAATGACCCTTTCTTGAATTTAGGGTAGCTCTGACTCTTTTCGCTTAGTCGAGGGACATTTTAGATCCTTAGCCTTAAAAAATATAATAAAAAATATAAAATGGATCCTACTATTATATTTTATTATTAAAAAAATTTAAAAAATTCATGTGGGCCCCACAAATGGGTAATTAACTGCAAGAGCATGGAGGGAGCAAAATTCTAAGATTAAGGGATAAAATTGACGTCAAGCTAAATTTAGAGTCATTTACGAACTTTTGTGTACAGTTTAAGAACAATAATGACCATTAACCCTTAATGTTTTGCTGCTTGCAATCATAAAATTAATTTACATTATATATGTGTGTGTGTATTGAAAAGCACAAGGAAATTGATGAGATCATAAAGAGTTGAAAATACAATATACTCAAAGCTAATGAAATGAAGAAATGAATAAAAGTAATATATAATATGAACATATCTTCTTATCATTGATACATATGAGACAAAGCAAAAAAAATTAAAAACAATGAACATATATGTATAAGATATGTGATAATTAAGGTTTAAGAACCTTTCATAAATATGTTATGATTGAAATAAAGTATGAAAAAAGCAAGGAACCTCCTTATAATAAAAGAGCCAATGATGCATAAATCAATTCAAAAGAAATCCAACTATTGTATAAAGATGGGAAAAAAAGGAAAAAAGTCAAAAAAATTCATTGAAGCTTCACCCAAACCTTAACCAAACCAAATTGATTTCCACAAAAATCGATCAAGTTTCACTCATGAGCAAACCGATTGATTTGGTTCAGTTTTATTTTTGCCCAAAACCAAACCAAATTGAGTAGTGAATACAAGGGCAAAAATGTACTTTAACCCCTTGAAAATATGCAAATAATAATGAAATCTCACAAAATATCATAATTCTTTTTAAATTTTTAGGAAACTTTCAGATATTATTTTTTTTGAAATAACTAAAATATCACCAATTTAAAATAAAAAAATAAATATTTGTAACTACTTAGTTTAAGTAATAACTACTTTTCTTCTAGCAATGACAAGAATGGAACAATCAATCATAACTTTCCTTGTGCAAACTTTTGATTCACTTAAGTCCAAGTATTGTAAATTAATAATTACTTTAATTTAAGTAATGGCTACTTTTCTTCCGACAATAACCAGAATGGAACAAGAAATTACAACTTTCCCTCTTCAAATTTGCAAAGTTAAAGCTATAATTTCTTATTTCATTCTGATCATTGATGGAAGAAAAGTAGTCATTACTTAAATTAAAACAGTCACTAATATTTACTTTTTAGGTTAGAGTGCATTTTTGCTCCTATACTTTCCTTCAAAGTGCACTAGGCATCATGCACTAATAAATATGGCATTTTTCTTCTTGAACCATTTTTCAGAGGAGCAAAAATCTCCTAAATCCCCCTCCATTAGTGATTCATTAACAAAGAAAAATTTTTGCTCCTCTAAAAAATGTTTTAAAAAGAAAAACGTCTCACTTACTAGTATAAGAAGTCCAACACTTCTAGAACAAAAAGTACAAAAGCAAAAATACATTTCTCTTCATATTACCATTTGACCCTTAATATTAAAATGGGTTACACTCCATACCTTCATATGTTCAAATCTCATTATTCATGTGATAACTTTTTTTTGGCAATCTATTTATATGATACCTTTGTTAATGAATAACATATAAATATTTTTATAAATACTTTTTAAATCATGAAATAAAATCCGCCTTCATCCTAATAAACCTCTCAAAATCAAGTCACCGAACTTTTTGTAATAAAATATTGATGTAAATATATTTTTAGATGGATACAATATTAATTAAAAATTAAGAATAATTAAATTTGGTACATTTATGACGGTAAATTTTAAATGATGAAAGTACTGAAGTTGGGAGTTCACTGGAAAAACTGAACAAGTACTTCAAGACAAAGTACTTTCATAAATTCCCATCCATTTCTCTGCTGAATCTATGCCCAAAAGAATGAAACTGTACTCTAGGAATTTATGTTCTAACACTGCACCATTGTTGTTGTTGCAGTTCATATCTCCAGGACGGACCCATCATCAGTTCCAAAAAAGAGAAAAATCTATATCTATAAATTATCATTTCATGAAAAGTTATTAATTGACTTCAATAATGGTTAAACCGGTAAATATTTTAATTATGTGTGTTAGTAAAATTAAGTTCTAATTCACTTATCAGTATATTTATTCACAATTAATTTGTACAAGTCCCTTCTAAAGTCTTACTAATCATTTTTAAACGTTGTCCTGATTCTTAATATAATACAAATTTTGAAAGTGTTCCTAGCCCTTAATATAATGCAAAGTTAGAATAAATTTTTTGAAGTTGGCTTTCCTTCACTGAGGAGCCCCTCCTTAATTTACACATCTAGATTGTCCAGATTTAATTTGAATGGTCCAAATTTAAAATTTAAAATTTTTATTTTTATTTTTATTTATTAGATTAGTGATTTATAAAAATTATAGACAAAATTGTCGGATTAGCAATTTAAATTTTTTTATAATTTTTATAAAATGACTTTGTAGATTCACTCTAGAAGGTGCGGATTTAATATTAAATTTTTTATAAATTTTATAAATTTAATTTTTATTATGCAATATTAAAAATAAAGATAATCTTCTAACATGAAATATTTTAAAAATATATATTTTAAAAAAATTATCAGTTAAAAATTTTAAATCTAAACTATCCAAAGTATATCTAGATAATTAGTTTATAAAAATTATAAAAAAATTTAATATTAAATTTAAACTATTCATATTAAATTTAAACTGTCTAAATTGCTTATCATATTTAATAAAAATAATTATTTTGTTATTTTAATAAATGTAACATTAAAATTAAAATTAAAACATTAAATCTGAAATGTCCAAATTAATAAGGGGTGGGAGGAGAGAATCTGAGGCAAAAAATGTTCCCTTACTTTATCCTATTTAATTATTATGGTTTAAATTCTTTGGCGATAATTTATTATAGTCATTAATTATAAAGAAAGACAAAATTGAAAAATCACATATTTTTTAATAATTTTAAATATATAACTATTATTTTTTTAGTAAGCCTGAAATTAAGTTTCTTTTATATTTAAAATAGAAGGAAGTATATAGTTTTTAGAGCTTTGAGGCACAGAGACGCTCGCTTGATTATGATCATCATATCATTTCACAATCTTGAGGCTTTAATTTCCCAAACAAGAACCGCATGTTCGTTGTTTTTACTGCTTTCCTCTTTCTGAATGGCTTCGAAGAGTCTGTTTCTGTACCTTGTATATTTATCTACGTATGGCCATGAACAAAGACAATTCACTGAAGTGGGAAATTATCATATACCTTGACATTTGATTCTTTTTTTTTTTTTTAAGAGCATGTTATGTAAAGGACTCGCCATAGTATTATTTAACCCCCTGCTGTTTGATTCGCTCTTGGTTGCACATACCTTCCATAATTGTACGGACAGTGTTATTCTTTTAAATCTCCTCCCTTATAGGAGACACAGAAATTAATGCACCACCAACCAAACAATTATTTTTAGAAAAATAATATAATGAGATGCAGGTAAATGCAGATAGGTTCAAATTGTGCACTGCTTAGCTAGCTAGCATATATTTAGTAAAGTTTTTGCATTTTCATCATTAACTAGTGGGAACTGAGAATCAAATAGGTTGCTAAAATTTGAAAAATAAGCCCCATCTATTTATATACCTTATAAATAGTATAATTTGGTCGAAGTTTTATGCATGAAGATGTCAGATTAAATCGGTCAACATGTATTATTGATCTTGCTTATCCGCATGTCACCACAGCCACAATGTTTTCCATGGACAAACAAAACCCAATGATTTTGCCTGCCTCTTTGATTGATGTAACTTGACAAAAGAATTTATATTATATTAAAGCAAATAGTGATACTTCACTATTTGATCTTGATTCATCAATAATGCTGAAGTTAAATAATAAGTCGTTAAATACCACGAAATATCAATGAATTGGAACTAATTACACTTGTGATTTCATATGTTTCCTTACCATCACCTTCCAAGAATATCCATGTAGACTCCCTTATTTCACAAAGGTCTCACTCTCAGAGTATTGAGAAGGTGCTGATCCATTAATGAAGAACACAAATTATGGCTCTTACGTCACTTCAAGCATATGAATATTATCTTTGCCTACCATGACTGCCATTTATTAACAGTACCAAATGGCAAAAACTTATTATACAAGAAGGTTTTATTGTGAGAAGAGTCCAAGAGTTGTTTCATCAAGTTCAAGGAACTGGCTAACCCACTCCAGATTCAATGGACCTTCATCTACTGAAAAATCAAAGAAGCCATCCACATCAAAATTGGGTTTTGATGATGAGTCTTCAGCTTCCTCAGTGGAAATCTCTTCTCTAGTTAGCTCAGCTTCTTCAGGGATCTTCTTCTCTACCGCCACCTCTTGTTTCTCTTCTCTTTTTGAACTCCCACTCGAGTGCTCCTCTATCTGCTTTATCTTCTTGCTCAAATGAGAATTCCAATAATTCTTTATCTCATTATCTGTTCGGCCTGGTAGTCTCCCGGCGATTAAAGACCACCTACAACGTATCAGCTATTTCTGTAAAAGCTCACAACTTCCATCAACAAAGGACCATTAAGCTGCTAAAATGAATGAAATTAAAGTCTATTGTAATCTCTAAGAATACTGTACACTGACCTGTTTCCAAGGAGTTTATGAAGCCGAAGAATCAAATCCTCTTCCTGGTCTGATATGTTTCCCCTCTTGATGTTGGGTCTGAGATAGTTTAACCATCTCAACCTACAACTCTTGCCACACCGATTTAGACCTACACATATAAACCAAATTCGATTCATCAAATAGTCGCTATCATGCATCCGCTTCAACTCAGAAATATAAAATGAACATGCATCTTGAGACAGCAGAGCTTTGAGTTTTGACCAATACATCAAGAAGCTAATATTTTAATTAAGAGATCAATCAGAAGCATTATCAAATATTCAGTTACTATCTACTTAGGGATTCCATTGATACCATATCTTCCAATATTCTAATATGTTACCTGCTTTGGATGCAATGGACTTCCACCTTTTTGCCCCATGAACTGCAATAACCTCAGCTAGTTTCTTATCTTCTTCTGGTGTCCAAGCTGCTTTGCTAAGAGGCACATTCGTCACGGCTTCGACTGGCTTCCCTTTCCTCTTCATACAATTATCAGTCCCAGAAGCCATTGTCTTATCCTTCGCAGCTTTTCAGAAGATGTGTTTGAGAGAGAGAGAGAGATATGTTCTCGAGCTTTGGGAAAGTTTTGCTGTATTAGTTTGTCAGAAGACTATAAATTTCTCAGTGGAGAAGAATTTCGCTTCTACCAGTTTTATATGTGCGATGTGCTTGAAAGTTGAGGGAGAGAATGGCACTTTTCATGAGTGTGGAGAGAAGAGTCGTGGGATTGATGATTGAGCCAATATGGAGTCCTACAACGTCTCCTTTCTTTTTAACTAATGCTTTTTTTATTTGAAATGCAGCCGAAAAAGTCTATTGCTACAAGTGCTACGAGGCTGCGATCTAAAGAGCACAGTGAGTGATTATGACCTTCAAAACTTGAGGAGTTAATTATTATTTTTTTTTTATTTTGGGTTCTAAAGAGAAGGTGCCAGTTACAAGAGGACCCATCTTAATAAACTTTTTACCGACATGATTGTCGAGAAACTTGCAAAAACTCTTCATAACATGTTGGGTATAATTAAGATCAACTCGTAGAATCCACATTGTAGGGAGTTAATTATTATATTGGTCGAATTGACGAAAATTAAGTGTAATCGGTTCGTTTCCCAATAAAGCATTTGAGAGCCTCTTGCATTGGCGAGAGTGAGTAAAAGAGAACTTAGGGAAAATAGCTTTTGTCATGTAGCTCATACGGTGAGTGAACTTGTCGGAATCTTTCGTGATTTAATTTAACTTTCTCGGGGCGGCTAAAGTATTATAATTTGAATGAATTGGCTGTAAATATTACTCCCTCTGTCTGTGTATATAGAATATTTTTTAAAATATAAGAAATGTTGTGATATTCTTAAATAATTAAATAATTTTATTCTTACTTTAAAAAATAATAAAGATATTAATTTAGTACTTTACCCTCCACTGTCATGATATTTATTGACATTTTTAAGAGTAAATTAAAAAATTATTATGATCTAGTATAATTTTAATTAAATAACAAACTTTTATAAATATATAAAATTTGATTAAAATAATCTTATATATAAAGACACGAGAAATATAATATTGCATGAAGGTTGAAATTTTTATCATATAAAAAAGATAATATACTTTTCATAAAAGTATTAAAGTAGTAGGAGAATACATTGTTGTGAGTGAAGGAGAGCATGAGGAACAAAGATTATTGGTGATGTTGCTGCATGTCTTTGCGTGTCTGTTTTGAGACTATAGGGTCTTCATCTTTTCGTGCCCTTTCTGACAACACATATATTATAGTGTAACTGCTGAACATCCAATTTATTAAATCCCCAATTTCTCCAGTATCTTCTGGTCTTGATTTATTTATGCTTGCGTAGTTTTTAATTTCTGTTATTTTTCTGATTACATGAAAGTTGTGCGTACGTATTTTCAAATGAGTGAAACAAAGTTCTGAATTTTTACTTGTTATACCCCGACCGAAGCAAATCGACATATATTAGATAAAGTATTTGATTAGTATATATATGCATGTTAATTAATTCTTACAATCGCTTACTGGTAGTTAAGAACGGTAGATGAATGTGAACATATACCTTGGGGGAGCCAGGTTAGGTATGTCACATCAGCAATATGCAAAATATATATTCTTTACGTTTCAATTTAAAAGACGTTTTTTTAAAAAAAAGTATAATAGTAAATTTTATTAAATACACTTATAATCTTATTTTTTTAAAAAACACAACTATATTTTTTTAAAACATCTTTTATTTAATATATTCCATGGAACAACTATAATTAATGAAATCTTATTTTCATTAAAGTGTATCTTATATTTTAAAACACTAAATCACCTCAAAAAATGTCTTGTAAACTAAGACAGCAGGAGTACTAATTTTAAGAGATGGTGGACTTCATTTAGTGCTTATTATAAGGCATATTTTAAAAGAGGTAGATGATTTTTATTATAAGTTATTGGATGCGGTATTAATTAATTTTTTTGAATTTTACTTCTATATTTGAAGTCATTAAATATGACTAGGGAGAATGTAATGCAAATTTTTTATTTAAAAATGGGTAAAATAAGAAATTTATTCAATTTTTAGATAGAATTAATGATTAATTATTTAACCACATCTCATTACTTGGCTCTGCTAAGGTGATTAGAGACGTCTTATAAGGAGAAATTGCTAATTAAGAAACTTGTTGTGTTGAATCAATTAATTAAGATGTACTCTCTCCACTTTCAAATATAAGAGAAAATAATCAATTCAAACATTTTAAAAAAATTAGTTAAATATAATAATTATGTCTTGAATTAAACAATTTGGACTAAATCATCTCTATAATTTATGAAACAAATTTGATTAATGAAAATAAATATTAACTTTATCAGGAACAATTTTTAAAAAAATGTGATAAATGTTTCTTGAAACTTATAATTTTATTTATAAATAAAAATAAAAAAACACATGATAATTTCTTTTTTATATATTTGAAAATGAAGAGGGTATATGCAGTGAGATTTTTAAAGTCCCACGTCAAGAGATGGAGAAATGGAATGACGAGTGGTTGTCTCTTTATTTGGGAAGAAAAAGATCACCTAATTTTGTTGTTAGGGGAAAACAACAAAAGAACTGATCAAAGCGCATAATGGACGAGCCATCATTCATTTAATTAAGATTATGCTGCATAATTTCTGCCTAATAGAAGTAGTGGGAATTATTAATCCGCACATAAAGGCTTTCTTCATACAAAATGGGCCCTACTCTAATCTCTTCCACGGATTTTTTTTTACCCTACCATGGCATTGTTGGCCCCTGAAAATGCTTTTCCACCTAAGATTAAATTAACTTAGGTAGGGCTTTACAGAAGTTCAATTATCCTATCTAACTCAGTCTAACATGAATAAGTTCAATCTAATAGAAAAATTAGTTCAAAGACTAAAGAATCAAAAAGATCAGACTAACTTTTTGAGTTGGACCTGATAGGAGATCAAACTCTCAGATTATTTAGTCCACTCCGATCCTATAAAATTATTTTAATATAATTTTAATTATTTTTAATATATTTGAATAGTTTAAAATTTAAACACAGCGTTTCTTTCATTCATATTTCACCTTTCTATTTAATATAATTTTAATTTAATTTGCTACTAAATTGTTGTTGTAATATATATTAGACATATTATTGAAATTTGTTGAACGTTGTTGCTGTTGTTGTTAAAATTATGAATTTGAATCATTTGTATTGTAATTGAAATTTTTTTTTTTGTTGTTAGAAATTGTTATGGATTTTTTATGATTATATGCATATTTATTATCTTAATTGAGTTTATTAAAATGAAATGAATTATTACCTCTCATGCAAGGAAAAAAGAAAAGCTTAATGAGTATTGGATTACCAGAAACAGTCTCCTTATTTTATGGATCAAATATGATTTTGTTAATCTTGAGATCATAACTAGATCAAACTGCAGGTTGATTAATTCAATTCTTTTTAATAAAAGAAATCAGACTTTTAAGTTCGGTCAAAGTTGAGTCTGCAGCCCTAAACCCAGGAATCTTAATCACGCAGCACGCTCCATGGTGGCTCTCTAATTTTGATTAACTACAGTATATGGCCACTACGCTGTGGTGTCACATGGCTGCAGTGACGTTGCAATTGCAATCACGTGATACGGTTTTATTTAAATTTAAAAAAATTGATGAAAAATATATGCTTTATATTCCCAAAAAAAATAAAATGATATTGATGCTATTAATTATTATATTATAAGAGTTAGAGGGGTCCACATGCGAACAGTGCAACTATTTACCACTTAAATAGGTTATTAACTGAATTAAAGGAACATGATAATAGTCCCCCAAACATAACAGCACACATCAAGAAAATTTCTTGTCTTCTTATTTTAAATTCACAAACCAAAAGGTTCCAGATCATTATAGTAGTTTGTCAAATGAGAAATGAACTCGATCAAACAAGAAATCGAAAACCAATTTGAATTTGTAAAATTGTCATCAACTTAAGCACGTCAATTATTTTTTGTATTAAAAAATTTAAATGAATTAGATTTGAAAAATTTATTAAAATCAAAGTATGTCTTCGAACTTAAATAGCATTTACTTAAATACTTATATATTATTTATTAATAAATTCATTAAAATTGACATGTATATTATCAATGACAGTGGTACCACCGGACGGAACTGAAATTCTCGTTTCTTTTTTTAATTTTTTAAATGAGACATGTATATTATCAATGACAGTGGTACCACCGCACGAGAACTGAAATTCTCGTTTCTTTTTTTAATTTTTTAAATGACCAAAAATGACATGTAAATAAATAAATAATTGGGAGAACGATAAGTAAGGATCAGAAGTTAATATTAAATTAAGATTTTTTTTTTGAAATTTCTAATTGAGCATTAACTTTTTGTATATAAGTTACTTGTCATTCTCCCTAATTAATTTTAGGTACAGTGTACAAGTCAAAAGGGTTAGCCCTCCAAGAAGACTTCGATTTGCGCATTAATTCGTCTCATCTTTGATTCACTGTTGAGTTTGCATGTGAGTAACCCTACTTAGTCAATCGATTGTTAAATCGATCGTCAGCAATGAAACGACTGGCATAACCAAGCTTTGATTATTAAGTCATAATTTTGTCTTTGGTTAGGTAAATAGTATAATGGCTGTCCAAGTTACACTAATTTGTCTAGAAGGTCCTTAATTAATTAGATTTTGTTCTTTTTGTAAATTTGAGGCAATTATTATATATAGGCTTAGTATAGAAGTTTTGATTTTCACTCCCAAAACATGGGGAGCTAATTGAGGATGACTTGTTCGTTATTGTATTGTAGAATTATTTTTGGTGACACGTCTCCGTGCACGGTACTGCATCTGGTCTAATTATGGGTTAAAAAAAGTGTTTCTTTTTTTTAAACCAGAAAAAAAAAAAGTTTCATACTAATAATTCAGAGAGTTAGTTATTCATGTTAATTATGTACTATGAAAACTAGAATTCCTTCTTCAGATGTCCCTGCAGACAATTGTGGTCATTTTTCAAATACTCATTTTATCTAATTTTGAATGAGGAATAAAATTAAAAATATGTATTAGTTGCACTTAATATTAGGTAGTTTTTACTTATAGTTAAGATAAAAATAAAAAGGTTAGTAGTTTTTATTTATAATAATTGAGACAAGAATGAATGTGTGCGTGTGTGCGTATTAGGATTTTTCCATTAGGGTGAGATAAAAATT